AGTCGCCTACAGCCTCCCTAATCTCATTGTGCCGTAAAGTTAAAAGACCACCTTTTTTGCACGCTAACGCATGCCGTAGGGTGAATGGTGACTGGCAACCATCACAAAAAGTTGGCGAAGCGTTCAAAATTTTGTTATACCGGACAATCAATGCATCCCAAAACTCCACTTCCGGGAGATCAAAGTTTTCTGCAGCAATCGTTAACGCTGTGAGCCAGGCAGACAAGCTTCCTTCAATGATTCTTTTTGCTGCGCGAACTTGGTCTGCTGGTAGCTCGTTCAATAACTCCCCCAACAACTCTGCATCTTTTTCTTGCATTATTCGATGCTGTTTTTTTCCGCGATCGAGACATTTGCCTTCTGTTGTCTTCATGGGAAAAACCGTGCTGATCAACAATAGCATCATAAAGAACCATAACTGCTTCCCGTGACGTGTTGTAAGACTCATCGGCGAAACTGGTCGGGTTAGACACTCCAAGACCACCCTTTCTTGCTGGCAAACAAAAGAGACGTCTCTCCTTTGATGAAATCGACGAAGTTCCAAGTATCGCAGGTAAAAATTTTTCCATCAGAAGGCTCTCTAGCGGTTGAAAAAGCTGGCTAGAACCACCCAAAACGCGATGGAAAAAATTCCATTCCGCTTGTAGGGACTTAGTCAGTCCTGATAAAGCACATTGTGGTTCTGCTTTTGCCACAAAAGAAAGTTTCTCAATTTTGTCTACCCATTCAAGTTCTTTTTTTTCAGGTAGATGTCCTTATCATTTCCGTCTCCAATGAAACCGACCAAAAACCTCTTTCCTTCCATTATAGTAACCGAAAACTTGTCAAATATGTGATGCGCTTCTTCAGCATATTGTTTATCGACAATCAGAAAATTTTTGGAAGGCTCTGGAAAGTAACCGAAGGCGGGACCTTACCCAATAAAGTTTTTGAGCCATATCTCTAGTTTTTTGAGTTTTGCTAAGGCCGCAGAATCATCAGCATACCAACTTTGGAACACATTTTTCGGATCCTCTAGCTTCCGAATCAGGGGAAGAAGTGAAACACCATAGAAGAACATTGCCAATGGGTCTCCCTGTGTTGTTCCTTCTCTACTGTATATCACTTCATCAGCGCCAGCAACGAAAAGCGACGCGAAGCCTCTGTAAGTATTCAAGAGAAAACTAGAACATCTAGGCCACAATATTCGAGCATTCTGCAACGCTGTTTCACGATTGAGCGAGTTGAAAGCATTTGATGCATCCATCAACAGCATGCCACAGCCATCTTCCTTGTTCTCATCAAAAACATCAGAGAGCGCATGTATTGCACCTTCAACTCCAGCTTTCAGCCCACAAGCTAATTGATCAGTCGAACATGTTTCTTCAAGGTCAATTTTTGTGGACTCAGCCACACTTTTGCAAATTATTCTCCGTAGACACTCGCCTATGCCAATAGGTCGCACGCAAGGACATTTATCCAGCGCAATCAATCTTCCAGAAATCAGTGCTCGCCCTTTCGACCATGGTAAGATTTGATTGCACATTTTTGTGGCGAGAGTTGCAACTTCGTTTCTCAAGTGTGAACTGTGAGCCTCATGATGTAATAAAAACGTCTGCCAAGGCTCAGAATCTGTTCCCGAAGCTACCGAACTGCCCTGCGAAGAACGTGTCGTCTTTTCAATGTAAGCAGAACTGATTATAACATCTTCAAAGCCGGGTAAAACTGGCACTTGCAATCGCGAAGAGAGATGTGACTTGTGTGGCTCTGGATGCTTTGAGATTGTAGAGGGTAGAGATTGGGGTTGAGGTTAAAGATGTTCATGTTTACCGTGGGTTTTCAGGTGATTCTTGTGTAAAGATTGATAGTTTGCCCAGTATAGAGGGCGTTGTGCCTGTGTTGGGGGATATAATAATTATCTCCTAATTGTGCTGAGGTTGGGGTAAAATAAATATCTGGTGGAAATTTTTGTGTGTTTGGAGAACTTAAAGTATGAAAGCTGGGAGTTTTTGATATAGTTTCTGATTGTGATGTTGAAAACGATGATGGTTTTGATGTAGAACTTAATTTGAAACGGATTTTTGGTGTTGTGAAAGTTCTGTTTCGCCTTGGATGAAATATTTGTCTGTGCTTTGTTATTCGTTGCGATTGGTTTTGACATATTTGTCCAAAGTTTTGAGAAATTAAGATGCAGATATTTTATGTTGGTTCTTATTGTGGTTCACAAATGTTTTTTTGATGTGAGTTAAGCAATGATTCTGATAATGGTGCTTATCTTTCTTCGATTAGAGTGTTCAATTAGGTTACAAAGCTTGTGATTACTTTTTAGGCCATGGATAATTTCTTTTAGTGGGATTTTTAAAGGTTTGGAGCATTCGTGTGGGATGATAATGGGTCGTTTTTTCGATCGGTTCATAGAAAGGGCAAAAAAGAAATTTGGCACATGGGATAGTAATTGCCGAGAGTGCCATTTATGTCAGTGTTTCAGGGTAAAATTAAAAAATTACGGGGGTGTGTGGTTTTCAATCAAAATACTTAAAGCGGTATTTTCGGTTGCGTGATGGTGTATGTTGTAAGGAGCGTCTTTCAAAAAAAAACGATAGTCAGCGTGACTACCGTTTTTTTGAAAGACGCTCCTTACAACATACACCATCACGCAACCGAAAATACCGCTTTAAGTATTTTGATTGAAAAACACACACCCCCGTAATTTTTAAATTTTACCCTGAAACATTGACATAAATGGCACTTTATTGCTCGAATTTAGGCTGAAAATCATGAATTTTATTTCTGTTTTTCTCAATACTGGAGAACTTTCTGAAAACTATTTAAAGTCTATCGAATCACAATAACATTTTTTCTATATGTCACTGGATCCATTCTATGCAGTATTTGTTGTGCCTGAGTTTGCGAACAGAAATAAGAAGCTAACACGAATAATCTTATCATTAAATGAAAAGGTAATAAAGCGTTGGGTGCGTTTCTCCTCCAATAGTTTTCAACTTCAAATGAGAATGTCAGACGTGGTATTATAAGGAAACCTTTCCAGCCGTAACTGTGATTCTTTAAAGATAGGCATCAGGCATGTTAAGTGTCTATAAAAGCAAGAAAACAAAACAAATCGTGAATTATTTTAAAAACTCCACCTTTCGATTTTTTAGGACAAAAACTTTACAGCTTTGTTTTCCCGGAAAAATTCATATTTTTTTCATAAAGTTAACACATTCAAAAATCTGGATCAATTAAGAGTCTTTTATTCCGCCGAGTTTTCTATCACGAAAACTTCACTTTCAAAATTTTTCTCGGCATTACCATTTTAGTTACTCGAAAGCGTAATTTCTCGGCATTACCATTTTAGTTTTCTCGGCATTACCATTTTTCTCGGCATTACCATTTTAGTTACTCGAAAGCGTAATTTAGTTTTCTTTTAGGTCAATTCAAATTATTCCGTTAACAAACTTAAGCCTTTTCTGCAATACGGTCTTTACTACAAGTTTTCACACTTAACATACCCAACAGACATTTGGAAAAGAGTCAGTTAAATCAAGGAAACAAAAAAATAAACTTATTTAAAAAATACATGAATACTGGAAATTTTTTTAAAAAGACTTTTAAACTCGTTGCACTACTGAAATAACTGAATCTAAACTATTTTTTGATAAAATCAACCCAAGTTGAGAAAACCAACCGAATCAATAGGTAAAATTTTTTTCCGCAGGGAAATCTGAAAATTATATTCCACTTTTAAAATTAAAGGTCGCTTACACATTTGATGTTCAATAGTGAAATTAACCTTCCTTTTAACAAAAGAAATAAGCTGAACTTGTCAAAATGCGAAAAATCAGAGTGAAGACTGGATGAGTTTTATTTTCATAACAAAGCCAAACTGTGTATCCTGCGAATTGTCAAATATTCCGCAATAGTCTGAAATCATATTTGTCGCGCAATTCGCAAAATTGAAGTTTTCTTTGCTATTTTAAAATTCATAGCTTTACTAGCTCGTTGCGGAACCCGCTGCAAACCTAAAGTGCGGATAAAATTTACATTACACGCATATGCGCGCAGAAATTGCCACAATCCATCAACAGTTTGGAACAGTTATAAAGACTTGTCTCGATTCATGACCTACAGACCTACACTAAGTGGTGCGTCTATCCAGTGCGGTTTGACCTCGTATTGTTGCAACTTTATACTTATTCAAACCATAGCCAACTGACAGTTGGTAAAGAGTAATTAACACGCAAGCAAACAAAAAAAACTGCCTCAATTTTTTGAAGACTTCAGCTTGAGAATTTATAAAATATATATACATATACATATATATGCCCTTGAAGCTCTTTGAATTTCGAGAACCAGTTGTGATGTGCTTTTTTGACAAAAGTAATCCCAACTTGAGGAAACTCGATTAATAGTTAAAGTTTTTGTTCTGCAGGAAAATCTATAAATTAAATTCCACTTTCGAAACTAAAAACTGTTCACGTTTTTTTCACGCCATTTCCATGTTCGTATTTGTAGAGTGCTATTTACGTAAGCTTTCAGATGAAATTCAATTGAACTTGAACGGTGCATTTATACCTATGCGTATTCATAAATGCATCAATATGAATGCACATCTTCAGTTATTACTGTTGCCGAAGCATCTCGATTTTTCCCAATCTTTGTAAACCAAAAGTCACTATATGGTCAAATGTTTGTAATATCTCTGATATAATTACTCTTGCAACAAGCCAGAAGGAAGAAAGTTGACTCTTGGAGCCATGTTTTGATGTAAAACGGGAATTCAATTACAATTACAGCATTGTAAGACTTTTTCTTGAAAAATCCACCAATACATATATAAGAGTCTTCACTACGTTCACTAGTTTAAATAATGAACAAGAACTTAATAATCTTAATTTTTTTTTGCTTTCATGATTTATATTATTGAGGTCGGCACTTTTCATGCTGCTAGCATAGCAACCAAACTTTCTTGTTAATTTTGAATTCAAGGTCTATCTTAAGTGAAAAATACCTGTCAACTTTTAAAAATAAAAATAAACTTCTTTCTGATTTCTGAACATGACTAGCACAAAATGAAATGGCCCTTTTGATTCGTTCAAACATGGCAGTCTTTTAAAAACACTTTTTAAAAATGGTATATGTTACATAATATTTGCGTCAATTTACAAATGCCTCATTGGATGAAAACATATTTGCTAGTTTTGGTGATATTTGGTTATGTCATAAATAAATGCCGAATCCTGATAACATAATTTGTTTACACTCGTATCTCATATATGCACAATTTTGCTAAACATTTGTATCTTAAACTCTTCCCTGATCAGTGCTAGTTTTAAAATTCGCAGCCAGTGAAGTTCAATGCTGGTACAAATTGCTTCCCAGTGCCTGCGACATATGAGACAAGTCCAGTCGTATTTTGGCACGTGGTTTCGCCACTGGAGTGTTGTTATCGTTGCTACTGTCCATGCAGAGTCTGCGTTTGAACAGTTCCAGTTCTTTCTCTCCTTCGTCCAGACCTTCCAAGTCATCCTTCGGGCGGAAGATCTCGTCTGCATCTAAAAAAATACCAAGTCATTAACTCTTTTACCTGTTTTATTCATGTGATCATTACAAAAACCATGGTTGTCTACATATGCCAAAAAGTCTACATACTTTGGTTGAAAATTAAGTGGAATCAACTTTCGGAAGATATCATTTTAACGCATTTAAACGCGCAAGTTACGCATGATCGGAAGTGCTTATGGGAAGCTTAAAACTGCCAGAAATTTATGAAAATATCGCCAAGCCAGCGAGAAAAATTTTATAACTCACCTTGCTGATGACTTTGTAAAATTATTTTCAAAATTATTTTTTCAAAAGAATTTGTCGTTTTCTTAATGGCGTGTTCTAGACACATACCAAAAAACTTGAAAACACTTGAAACCTTGAAAAACTTGAAACAACAACAACTCCTAGCCCGAAAACTCGGGGCTATGTTGATCATCTTGTGTAGGATTCAGTACCTAGTGATGCTCCGATTGAGTTCTGCTTCTGTCTTTTCCCACTTTTATTTCCACTTTTCATATCCTGTGTCTGAGCCCCAACTGATCCCTTCCCACTTTCTGAAGACCCTGAAGTCCCCAAAGCATTGGTGGATGACTCATTCAGCAGCTGCAAATATCCACATTACAATCATAAGCCTAAATCAGTAATTCTCGGTCATAAGCCTAAATCTATAATTCTCGGACTCATTCAACTCTTTTTAGCTAACCATTATCATTAAAAGTTCCAAAATTGATCGAACTAGCGCAAAAATGCTTGTTTTTATAACCGCTCACGCAAAAAAAAACTAAAATTATTTCGCAAGTCTGATTTTAAAAGGATCCATTTTTGCACAATCAAAATTCAAACCTTGAAAGTCAAAAAGATTTATCATTGTTTTATTAGAATTTCACTATTAATTATAGATACGCTAAAAAAAAAACGTATACCAAAAAAACCTTGTGTTTCTTGCGCTTGGAGTTCTTGCTCTTCTTGGAAGCTCCTGCCGACGATGTCGAGGAGTTACCACCTCTTGAAGCCTCCACACCCTCAATGTATGCTGCCAGAGAATCAACTGACATGTCCTGGACATTCAGAACACTCGAAGCTGCATCATTTTCTCCGTTCTCGTTCTCAAGTTTATCTTTTCCTTTTCCGCTTCGCTTTTTGTTTTCGTCTTCATCTTGGTCTATCTTTTCATACTTCTTCGAAGCCTCGCATCCTTCGCCTGCTCTTTGCGCCTTCTTTTCTTCAGTCGCATCTAGTCCATTATTAGTGCAACTACCAGAAGCATGATGTCCGTTATTAGCACAAGACTTGTGCGCTATATGATCCGGACTATTGTTGTTGCTGTTTTTGATTTGTTGCTGTTGTAGTCCTTTTCGGTCCGGGGTGCCTCGTCTGCCGTCCAATTTCTTCCTCAACTTCTCTCTTAAGTCGTCCTCTCGACTCCGCGTAGCCGGACCCCCGCCACTACACGTCTATACACACAATTAACTATTTTCAGAAATCAGTTCAAAAAAATTATCGCTGTAAAGTTTTTTCAAATTAAATAATTAGGATTTTTAATAGACGAATTAAATAATTAGGATTTTTAATAGACGTAGATTTTACAGTTTGTGATTAACTTTTTTTCTTCAAATTATTCCATATAAGTTTTTATCAAAGCAAACTTTAACTTCCATTTTCAAACACCATCAGTTCTCACAATGAAGAAATTGAGATTTTCTACTTGAATAGCATTTCGAGAGCCTGCATCTCACCGTATTTCCAGCTAGGAAGCAATGACACTTGTCCGTATTTTTGCACCCATTACTCAACACACCTCCCCCATTCGCCCCAGATGCATGACCCTTATGTCCTTCCGAGACACTGGAGTGAGAGTGGGTTTGAGTGGTGTTGTGAGAATGAGGCGTAGTTGCCGATCCGACAGCGCTATCGGACGTGCAACTGACCTTGACCTCTGCCACCGTGGAAGTACTAGACTGGGTGTCATTTGAGGGCACCTTTTGACCTGCTGGAGTTGACCTAATCACCATATTTTAATGTAAGAAACCTTTTTTTTTCGACATAACTGCGAAAAAATTTTGCCATCTTTTTTCCAATTTTCAGAACATAGCCAACCGGAGATTTGGAAAAGAGTAATGAACGCAAATAAACATTAAAAAAACATTGACTTTCTTGACACAATATCAACTTTCGAATTTATAGAACGTTTTATGATGAGTTATTGATATCAAAAAAGCACCAATCATAAAACGTTCTAGAAATTCAGAGCAAACTAAGTCTGGAGGTAGCGAATACGCCTGGGACGTCAAAGATCAGTTCGAATCTAACCAGGTTTTATTTTTCAAACCGGAGGTATTGTTTTTTATATTAGTTTTGTTTTTTTTTGTTCGAAATTTTCATTGTAGTTGTTTTCAGTGATCTGATTGAATCTTGCAAATTGTAATTTTACTAGCCTTGACTTCGTATATTTTCCTTTTTAAATTTATTTTCTTTTAAAATTTTTTTCGTTATATAACTTATTTCGGCCAAAATGATTTCAGCTTTTATTTTATTGGCTTAGTTACTCTATTTTGGGTCGTTTCAAGGGAACCATAATTTTTATGCTTACATCTTACAAAATCCTACAAAATGCTAAAAAACTTGGAACAGAATTATTAGTTCAAAACTTTTCATGACAACAGTTTTATTCTCATTTACGCCAGTTCTGTCGGCTCAGTTCCCGTTCGATAATTATTTTTGAAGTTTCAATAAAAGCCGACGATTGTGTTTCTGGGGCGTGTTTTCCGCAAATATATCATCATTACAGACAACATTTTGAAGCTTTTTTATTGTGATCTTTACGAGATTTTTTAATGAGTTTTTACTTTAGTGCAACTGCTTTCTTTTTCCGTCTGCTAGCTTGCAATGCTATTATTGCGGTATCGCAAGTAGTGTAAAGCTCCTCTTCCCCTCTTTGTTTAGTGTTTACTTATTAAGAGGCGATGAACGTAGTTCAGACTCTTATATAGGTCACCATTTTTTTTTCGTTTTCCAATAAAATTTGTTCAGTCTCAAATTTACTTTTTTGCAGCTTGCCTTTGATTTCAGTTCATTTTCAATGTTTAAAGGAAGGCAAACTTCACTATCAAAGAGCAAAAGTGTAAAGGTCACGAAAAACGTGATCGATATCTAATTTCGAAAGTGCGAAATAATTATCAGATTTACCAGCTCAATAAAATTTACCTATTTATTAAGAGTATTGAACTTAGTGAAGACTCTTTTATAGGTCTTGCTGATTTTTTCCAGGAAATGTCTTAAGTCTCTAATAATTACAGATGTGCATTCATACATTGCTGCATTTATGAATGCTAAGGTATATATGCACTTTTTGAGTTCAATTGAAATTCATCTGCTGAAAGTGACGTAAATAGCAGTCTCCAAATAGGAACGTGGAAATGGCGCCAAAAAAACGTGGACAATTTCTAGTTTCGAAAGAAGAATTTTTTTAGATTTCCAGCGAAATAAAAATTTTACCCTTTGATCCAGTTTTTTCAAGTTGGGTTATTGATATCAAAAACGCATTAAACTTGAAAAAACTGGATCAAGGTGTAAAAATTTTTTTTCCGCTGGAAATCTAAAAAAACTTCTACTTTCGAAACAAGAAATCGTCCACGTTTTTTCGCGCCACTTCCCCGTTCGTATTTGGAGAGTGCTATTTACGTCACTTTCAGCAGATGAATTTAAATTGAACTCAAAAAGTGCATGTATACCTAAAAGCATTCATAAATGCATCATTATGTACGAATGCACATCTGTAGTTATTTGAGTCTCACGCACAAGCCACATAGCCAAGAATGCTTAAATTACCCAAAAACTAGCCACCAATAAGGCAGCTACACATGTGTATAAATTGCCAATTCGATGCAGCAAAAGTAGCACCAAATACAAAGAGACACAATTTTACATGTTAAAAATTGGAAAGCACAAAGCCAAACACAGAGGCAAAGCTGCGCTTCGCAAACACTAGTGAGAACACGGCCAAAAAGTTTGCTCTATCAAAAGAAATAAATAAAAGCAGAAATAAAAGCAGAAATAAGCCTTGAATTAGCAACAACTCGGCTACGTGTAAGATTCGAATCAGCGACCTACTGCAAACAAGAGATTTTGAGTCTCACGCACTATCCACTCACCCACGCAAGCTGAACAACTTACAAACACTAGTCACGAATAAAGCAGCTACATATGCTAATAAACTGACACTGCCATTCAGCAAAAAGGGCACCAAATACAAATAGACTCAATTTTGCAAGTAATATATTGGAATATAACAAAACTAACTTAAAAAAAACGAAAAATAACGAAGGCATCCACACTAACTTTGCAAGTGACAAATCGCAATGCATAAAGCATTAAGTAAAAATTATGCATTTCTAAATACTGAAAGATATATTGAGTTAGAAAAGTTCTGAAATCGAGTTTTCATTATTGCAATGCTGTTTGAAACGAAGCACTTTTTTCGGTTCATTTGACTTAGGTTGGGAAAAAAAGAAGCTTCGTTCTAATACACGCTTCGCAAGTGTAATTATGCATTTCAAAAAAAATGCGTGACACATTGACTTGGAAAATTTCTTGAAACGAGCCTTTTCTCATTGTACTGCTGTTTGAAACAAATAACTTTTTTCGGCCATTTGATGAATTAAAAATGCATCAGCTGTGTAAACTTTTTACAACTCAAATGTCAAAGCACCTATGATATTATTCTGCTACCGCAGCCTTCAAAAGTGCCACCAAAAGTAGCACTTTTACTTGCGACTTAGATTGGAAACAAAGTTCGTACTAATACACTTCGCTTCGCAAGTGTAATCAACAGTAATTCTTTAAATTGAGTTAACTGTAAGTATCGTATTTGTCTATTGCTCGTATATAAATAAGATATTGAGCTTTTACGATTTAAAAAAATACATACTTTTGTGTGAAGCTGCCGCTGCTAGTGTTATTGTTGCCAGTCTTAATGTATGTGAGAGAGATGGCCTTGGCGGAGCTGCTGACACTTGTGGTCGTCTTGTCATCTTCACTTAGAGAGACATACGATGACGACTCTGGTCTGTGCTCAGTTGACTTTTTACTTTCTGATCCAACTGTCTTCTCTTTGCATTCTTTTGAGCTGTGCTTTTTACCAACATCATCTAAACCAATTTTGACGAGTCAGCTTTACAACTACACTTCCAATTGCATCATATTGTCTCATCAAAGTTTAATTCAGGTCCGGATCTAGTATTTTCTGAAGGGGGGGGGAGGCTAGGATTGGGAATGATAATAACTTTGAACGTTGTGAAAACCTCTGGTTGTTCCAAGTTCGTCTGGACAACTATATAGACCCCAATTTTGCCAAAGTTTCTGCGCCACAGGAAAACATCGCCAAAATAACGCCAAAAATCAGAATAATCTGCGTGCACTTACTTCCCTCCTTAAATTAGTAGATATTGGCACCAAAAGCGCCTTTCAAAAATTCATTTTTTTGTTAGTCCACCTTAAATAGATGTCGTAAAAAAAAACAAATAACCACCCTTTGGGAGTGCAAGAGGTAGGATGCTACTGATTTCAGTATTACAAAGTATTTTTTAAAATTTATGAAAAATTTAAGACTAAGAAAAATTTACTGCTGAAGCGTTTGGCATGAAGCGTTTTAAAGCTACCGAAACTGACCTTTTTGACCTTGGCTGCCAGACTGTTTTTTGGTCTTTTCTGAAGCCGCAGCATTCGTTGAAGCCGAGTTACACTCCTGCTGAGCATTGCTTCTACTGCTTGTTTGCTTCTTACTGGGTAAGTTGTTGAGAAAACCTTTCTTCAGCATGTTGAACGAAGACGATGACGTCGAAGAAGACGAAACTGATGTCGAAGTCGTAGTCTTTGCTCCTTTGACACAAACTGACACAGTCGACGTTGTCGAAGATACCCCTACATTACCACTCTGAGACTGGTTTTGACCCTAAGAAAAGAATCTAATTTCTCCACAACTGAACAAATAACAAATATAGCACACAAAAATTAACAAAATTAGCACTAAAAAGTAGATAATGCCCGCTGAGAGTCTACACTTAATCAGAACACAAACAGAAAACCAATATAACAGAAAGTTTCGACCACATTATTCAGAAAAACGATAACATAGCCAACTAACAGTTGCAAAAAAGTAATAAGCCCAAGGAAACTGAAAAAAAAAAACAAAAAAACTGACTTTTTTCAAGAGCCTTCAACTTTTGATTTTTGAAGAAAAAATAGATGGCCTTGAAACTATTTGAATTTGTAGAACATTTTATGATGGACGCTTTTGCGTTCAAATCAACCCAATTTGAGAAAACTGGATCAATACGTAAAACTTATATTTCACTAAGAAATCTGATAATTAATTTCCATTTTCAAAATTAGAAGTCGATAACGTTTTTCGTAACCTTTACACTTTTGCTGTTCGATAGTGGAATTTGTTTTCCCTTTAACAATAGAAATGCACTGCAGTTATAAAGAAATCACAAGTCAAACCGCAAAAAAATCAAAACTGAGCGTGAACAACTTTTAAGACTTTTTCCTGAAACAAAAAAAAACAAAATCAACAAGACCTATAAAAGAGTACTCACCACGTTTATTACTCTTAAAAAATCATTTTATCATAGAAAATTGTCGATGCGTAGTGTGGAACCAAACGAAAGCTTCTAACATTAAGTGCCAAAAAAATGCTTACAGAAACGACAAAACGTAATTTTTGATTTGGTATTATAACACCTATAATAGCCTAAGACAGTTGGAAAATATTAATGAGCGCAAGAAAACTGAAAAAAAAAACTGACCTGTTTTTTCAGAAACCTTCAACTTTTGAATTTCGAAAAAATAGATAGACTCTTTGAATTTGTAGAACAATTTATGAAGAAGAACACTTTTTTGTTTAAATTAACCCAATTTGAAAAAACTGGATTAATAGGTAAAACTTTTTTTTTCGCAGAGAAATCTGATAATTAATTACCATTTTCGAAATTAGAAGTCGATCACGTTCTCGTGACCTTTATTCTCTTGCTGTTCGATTGTTGAGTTTGCCTTCCTTTTAACAATCGAAATTAATTGAACTTAAAACAGAAATCAAAAGTCAAACAGCAGAAAATCAAAATTGAGCGTGAAAAAAAAACGAAAAAAAAAAAAAACACCAAGACCTATTTAAGAGTACTCACTATGTTCATTAATCTTAAAAACAGTCCAAAAATAGCTCGAAAGTGGACTAAAAAGCAACCTTCAAACCGGTTTTTTGTTACGCTGTGAAAACTTTTTGATCCCAATCGATTCATGTGTATTAGAATTTTATGATGATATATCACTCGACTAATTCTGATTACTATTTGTGGAGCCTGATTTTGCATGGGGGGAAAAATTAGAACACACCCGTTTGTCTCAACAAAGTTAATCTTAACTTTCAGCGATCGGAACAATAAACAATCCTACCGCTAATTATTTTTCTGTATTTCAAAATTAAGTAAGAACCTGAGCAGATGAAGACCTGTTAGTGACCTTGACACTGACATTTAACTGTTTCTCATTGGGTCCCTTTGCCTCTTTTTCAGACACGACTTGGGATCGAACTCCCTCGCTCTCTGCCGAATCATTTTTGTTGGTAGTTTTCTTGACACGCTCATCTTTGGAAGACGCAGACTGTGAGCTGTTGAATTTGTGTACTATTTTCTGCGCCATGGAGACGACCTCATCGGAGTTCACTGGTCCTTTCCGAACAGTTCCAACTGATTCTTTCTTAGTTCCACCTGAAAATTCAAAAATGGCATTTGCTTTCACTCAGAGCCATAGCGGAGCTTCTCATCATTTTGTATTCTCAAACATTGTATTGCAAGCTAGCGAATAAAAATGAAACGGAAATAACAACGTCAAACAAAAAGTTTGAATAAAAATTTTTAAAAGTCAAAAAGAAAAACTCAATTTCAGAAAAACAGTCGAAAAACAATTGCCGAGCGACTACCAAATCGACAATACTGTGGTAGACGCCCTTTCAGTCGAAAACAAAATCTTTTTTGAGCCATTATATTTTATCAACTACACAGCGATTAAATTTTAACACCTACACCCCCATCTCTCCTGAAATACTCAACCTCATGAAATGCAAGTTTTGCAGTTCGATCCAAAATAAGGTGACTGAGCCGGTGAAAAATAAGCCGCAACCATTTGATCAAAAAATTATTCAAAAAAACAATAGAAAAATCGAGTTGATAAATTTTCAAGTAAGAGATCGAATGTCAATTATGGTTAAAAAAAACTTTATATCAGAATAAAATTCCACGCTTTACATCAGAATAAAATTCCACACCCCGATAGGAAATGAACAGACAAAGGCCTGTGGGCGAAAAAAAGCCCGCATAAGGACTTTAGGGTGCAAAGACGCCCGCATTACCTCTAGACCAAATGAGAAGAAAGTTGTGTAGTCTCAATTTAAAAAAAGCTTAATATATCACAGATTGTAATCCAAATTGTTCACGGGAAAAGTTTAGAACTAATTACAAGTCAATTGCTCTAGCAAGTGGAAATAAAGGAAAAAAAACAATTCAGAAGATTTACAAAAAATTATCAATTAATCCCAACTTGAAGAACACCAACAAGGAAACATGATTTTTTTTAGCTTCAAAACCCAGTAATCTACTAACAATGGTCATAACTTCCACCTTACCTTTAAAAATAGCGCTTGAAATTGTAAATACCATTTTCTCGAGACCAAACATCCTTATGAGCCAATATACAAATCGAAGAGAACAAATAGATGGCCTTCAAGCTCTTTGCACTTCTAGAACAATTTATCATTGAAACTTTTTTGATAACATGAACCCAATTAGAGAAAACTGGATCAAAAGATACAATTTTAAATCCGCTGGAAATCTAAAAATTAAATTCTTCAATCGTTCACGTTTTTTGCGCCATTTCCACGTTCGTATTTGGAGAATGCTATTAACGCCACTTTCAGCAGATGAATTTCAATTGAACTCAAAAAGTGCATATATAGCTTAGTGCATTCATAAATAGAGCAATGTATGATTGCACATCTGTAGTTATTAGAGACTTTTAAGACATTTCCTGGAAAAGAATCAGCAAGACCTATATAAGAGTCTTCACTACGTTCATTACTCTTAATAAATAGGTAAATTTTATTGAGCTGGTAAATCTGATAATTAATTCCCACTTTCGAATTTAGAAATCGATCACGTTTTTCGTGACCTTTACACTTTTGCTCTTTGATAGTGAAGTTTGCCTTCCTTTAAACATTTAAAATGAACTGAAATCAAAGGCAAGCCGCAAAAAAGTAAATATGAGACTGAACAAATTTTTATTGAAAAACGAAAAAAAAAATGGTGACCTATATAAGAGTCTGAACTACGTTAATCGCCTCTTAATAAGTAAACACTGAACAAAGAGGGGAAGAGGAGCTTTACACTACTTGCGATACCGCAATAATAGCATTGCAAGCTAGCAGACAGAAAAAGAAAGGAGTTCCACTAAAGTAAAACTTATTGAAAAAATCTCGTTAAGATCACAATAAAAAAGCTTCAAAATGTTGTCTGTAATGATGATATATTTGCGGAAAACACGCCCCAGAAACACACTCAATCGTCGGCGTTTATTGAAACTTCAAAAATAATTATCGAACGGCAACTGAGCCAACAAAACTTGCGTAAATGAGAATAGTTTTGAATTATTAATTCTGCTCCAAGATTTTCAGCATTTTGTAGGATTTCGTAAAATGTAAGCATAAAAATTATGATTCCCTTGAAATGACCCAAAATAGAGTAACTAAGCCAATAAAACAAAAGCTGAAATCATTTTGGCCGAAATAAGTTTTATAACGACAAAAATTTAAAAAGAAAATAAATTTAAAAAGGAAAATATACGAAGTCAAGGTTAGTAAAATTACAATTTGCACGATTCAATCAGATCACTGAAATCAACTACAATGAAAATTTCGAACAAAAAAAAATAAAACTAATATAAAAAAAAACAATACCTCCGGTTTGAAAAATAAAACCTGGTTAGATTCGAACTGGTGATCTTTGACGTCCCAGGCGTATTCGCTACCTCCAGACTTAGTTTGCCGGAGACATTTGGAAATTGGAATTCATAATGAACCAAGTGATTCTGTTAAACAAGTTGTTAACCCGAAAAAAGTATATATTCTGATTTAATAACGCTTCCAAACGCTGTCGTAATGAGGCATTCAGACAGCTTAAATGAACCTATAATGCGCAAACCTTGCTTCGATGCTTCTCTCGATGCTACCGGCTGCTCCTTCAACTTCTCTTCTTTCACATCTGATCCATTCTGATGTCCTTTACCTCTTGATGCATCTGTTTTATTTACTTTTGTTGTCGTTGTTGATACTGGAGTTGTAGTTATAGTGTTGAAGGAACTGTTTAGAGAGTCACTATCCGCCCCACTTGCCTCTGAAGTACAGTCGACATCCCCGATGGGCATTCGGAATGAACCTGAATTCCCGTTAACACTCTCATCTCTATGGTCATGCAAAGACCCTTTGGATCCTCTACCCGTTGAAGTCAGATCCTGCACTCCTTTGGCTGAACTTTGAGCGTTGGCTTTCGCCTCCGCTCTTTTAGCAGCTTCCCGTTTCTCGATCTTCTCGTAACACTTGCTCTCTATCTCCAGCTGGAAAAACAAAATATAAATGGCGGTTGCTCAACAAACAGCCATATCTTGAAGCCGAAATTACGTAATCTACATCAGAATTACGTAACAATTGCATAACAACAAAGACAATCTGTTGTTATATTGCATAAAAAAATCAATTTTCGGTTTGTTGGAATAGTAATCTTATTTTCCGTTAGTTGGCCCTTCGTCTTGTTGGCCTTTCACCATATAGAACTTAATTTAACTTCGATTATCGTCTTAATAATCATTAACGGCAATGTCATAGTTACCTTTTTGGCCTGCATTTGTTCCAGGTACTCCTTCAGAGACTTTCGCAGTGCCTCCTGATCCCGCTGCAGACTATCGTCCAAACCCTCCTCCTCGTCTTCATTTTCTTCCTCATCATCATCTTTTTTCTTCCCATTATCTGCAAAATAACTTTATTTTCAACAACAAAATAAATAATTATTTGAAATTTTCACCGATTCAACATGGAAGAGGCTAAACTTGAAATATATTGGCACACATTCCGTTAATATCAACCTGAGTTTTGCGCATAATTTCTCATGCTTACTAAGCAGAGCTATAACCTTTTGGCAATTGGCTTTTAAAGAACATGAACGAGTCTTGACAAAATATTTATTTTATTGACCTTCGCCTTCACTCCTTTCATGTTGCTTCACTCCTTTACTCTCTGTCTTCGCAGAAGTAATGGACTCTGATGGGTTCGAACCCCTGTTCTCCTCGGTAGTATCTTCTGCCTCCGCACACAGACTCTGCAGGATGTTATTGATGTCCGCAATGCTACTGTCTAACTTCTTTCTCTACAAGCAACATATAAAAGATTATCAAAAACTTTCATTCATACATCGAATTTCGAGAAAAAATGATCAACAACCTAAGTTTACTACAAAATAAGATACAAAAATCTAAATAATCTTTCACACAGAGGCGAAGCTGCACTTCGCCAACACCTAGCGAGAACGTCAAAAAAGCTTCATGAAGTGAAATAAGAAAATATAGAAATCAGCCTTGAATTAGTTTAACTTTACTACGTATCGGATTCGAACCTGTTACCTCGAGATTTGGAGTCTCACGCCCTAGCCTCTCGGCCACGAACGCTTAACAACCGGCAAACACTAGTTACCATTCAAGCAGCTACATATGCTAACAAATTGCCAATGCTGTGCAGCAAAAATTGCACCAAATATAAATAGACACAAATTTGCAAGTAATCGTTTGGAATATAACAAACTGAAGGCATCTACACTAATTTTGCATGTGAAAAAAAATGGAAAGTTTAAAACAACATTATTTATAAATTATGCATTTCGAAAAATTGCTTTATTATTATCTTGTTATATTTTTATTATTGTTATGTTGCTCATTTGCTGAATTTAAGCAGAGGCGAAGCTGCGCTACCCAAACACTTGCGAGAACACGACCAAAAAGCAGCTCTAGCATGTGAAACAAGAAAAAGGTAGAAATAAGACTCGAATTAGCAAACACTCGGCTAACTGTCGGATTCGAATCGGCAACCTAGATAATTTGAGTCTCACTCACTAACCACTCAGCCACGGTTGCTTAAATTCTCCAAAAAACTGGCCACCAATAGAGCAGCTACATATGCTTATAAATTGCCAATTCGATGCAGCAAAAGTAGTACCAAATAGAAAAAGACAAGACGCAATTTTGCATGTAATAAATTGGAAAGCAGAAAGCCAAATTATGTATGAATTATGCATTTCAAAAAAATAGCGAGATACATTGAGTTGGAAAACTTCTGAAAACAAGAGTTTTATAATTGTACTGCTCTTTGAAACAAATATTTGTTTTCGGTTCATTTGATGAATTAAAAAGCCATCAGCTGCGTTAACTTTTTACCAATCAATGACAAAGCTCCTATACATTAAACTGCAACCACAGCCTACCGATTCAAGTGCCACCAAAAGTAGCATTTTATTTGGGACTTAGTTTGGAAAAAAAAAGAAAGATCGTACTAATACACTTGGCTTCGCAAGTGTAAAAAGGCATCAACTGCGTTAAGTTATTACTTTTTGAACGTCAAAGCACATGCTATCAAAAAGCAGTAAAGGTGTCAAAAGAAAGACCAATATTTGCGACTTAGGTTAGAAAAAAATAGTCGTTGTATAACAGTAAAACTCACTCAAGTTAGCTAGTGTAATAAAGCCCATATTTCTGAGCCCTTCTTCAGTGCGCGAAAACGCAACCGATTCTAACCCAGTCAAAGCGGATTCTTTCAACCAATATTTTTTTGCGAAACGAGAGCCAATGCTAAGTTGAAGTCATTCGGCATTTGATTTTATTTGGAATAAAATTTTGATAAACATATTGGTAGCGATTTTCTAAATTCTGAGTTTTTCCTTACCCAACTGGGATCCAATCCCAGAGAAGCCGTTTTCTTTTTCTCTTGATCCTTTGCCTTATCATCAGTTGTCACTTTCTCTTTCCTATCGTCATCGTCTGCAATTTCACCTGAAGATGCTTCATTTTTTGCGGCATATACATACGGCGTCAGGTCTTCGAAATCGTCATCGACTCCTTCGTTAGAGTCTTCAAAGTCGTGCATCGGGGGCAGACAAGTGGGCAGAGGGGGTCTAAATCGGATGGATGAGGGCGGAGGGGGAGGCACGAAAGGAGGGAACACAAGTCGACGAGAACCAAATACCTGGAAAATTCAATATGTTGCTGACATACTGATGTCGTTCACAAATGTTCATGATAACTAAACATTGCTTTACAAAAACTCGTCTCACAGAAATAGATTGCCTTTCAAAAGAAGTATATTGACTTATAAAAGGAGAAAAAAATTCTTTTGTAGTCGTTTACTGTAAAGGAACATCATTAGACCCACGATTGAACAAACTACTCGTTCATTTTAAGCTTGTTTTCTTCGTCCAGTTTAATCAATTCATTTTTAGCGTCTGCAAATAATTGCTATGTAGTTGTTGTTTAACTCTTAAAGGTTACAGAAACCGGTCCAAAACTCCCACTTTAGCTGAAAATGTAGACATTTAACTTACGTCCACTTCAGTCTCTGGTTCGAGTAGAAATGGATTATTGCTCATCAGAAGAGTATCATCTCCACTTCCATAGTCATTCATGTCATCAACATCCCCACTCATCAAGTCCATAGTCACCGCATTTATTCCCATTACACTCCGCGCATGTGGGTTGTCTCCACAGAAAGAAGAAGAGGAGGACGAGGAGGATGATGAGAAGAGATCCTCGGCAGGCAGTCCTCTGGCTCTGCAGACCGGACACTCACACGTGTCATCAACACTCTCCTTATGGATATCCTCTTCACCTTCACATCTCTCTTTCTCCTCAGTTCCTGCTTCGGATAATTCTCTTCTACACCTACAACCCAATATCAATTTTAATCAACGAGAGCAATTCGCCCACCTCTACTTAATTGAATCTGGGATCCAGAAAGGCTCCCGGAATTTTTTAAGATTGTGTCCTGCGAACTTAATGAAACATTTTAGGCTGGGAGCTTTTGGATGGTCAAACAGAACTGTGGGAGTTACCAAATACCTCCAAAAAATCCAAGTAACTAAGGAGCTTAGTTCCATCAATAATTCTCCTACCTAAGCTTGAAGATGGTCGAAAATTTGACCTTTCTAGGGTTACCTGTTTTCTTTATTTTCCTCTTCCTCCATCATCATCTGTCCTTCTGTCTCCACTTCCTCCTCCTCCTGCTGCACATTATGTATGGCCACAGTGGCTTCCTGGAGGTCACTCATGATTTCTTTGATAGTGGCCACCCTCTCCTCCATTGTCATGTTACACCTGGCCACGTACTCCATCTGCACAAATAAATATAAAAGCTCTAATTCAACTTGCAGAGAAACCTGAAAAAGCATGATTCCATTTTTTCATTAGCCCGACCCTACTCACTGCAGTCGCATCCTGGGGGAGGGGTGTCATCCATTTCGCCGTATCCGTTCCCACCTTGACGAGGCGGATGACATCGGAACCCTGCGACACAAGTGAGACGCGGGATTCCATCCCTGCAACTTTTGATACCATTTTACACACATCCATTTTCGAAGTTTTTTCACAATTTCTTTTACATGTTAGTCTTTTCAGTGCATGGGAGAGAGCTCGGAAAATCAAATCTGTCGATCTAAAAAGAGTTTTCTAAAAAATTTACCTCTGTACCTTTGATTCCCCCTATGAGCAAGTTAGTACCGGTTTATTTATTTAAAGAATTTTGCAACAAAGACTTCTCTGAAACATTGTCGAATCATGACTGCTGAAATGTCATTTCACCTTTTTTCGTTCTTCTCTAATAGCAATCTCAACATCTGTATCTTCTCTTCTGATATCCTTTCCATTAGTATTACTTTTGTAAGACTGCGGAGACTTCGAGCTCTTGGTAGAGGCTCTGGGAGTGAGTTGAGTACAGAGTCTTCTCTCAACTTCTCTCTCCCTCTCACTCCGTCTTTTCTCTCGATCCAAATCTACTCCAGCATCTCCACCAGCTCCAGTTGGATTTCCCGATACCTATAAAGAAACATATGGGCCTTTATTTATTGTTATCCGAAACACCCAACTAAACGTTGTTATCTGAAATGCCATAACATTTGCTTTTTGTGTAATTCTGTTTTGTGAAAAATTTTCGAAGGCAGGGGGTATCTTTCGTTCTTCTTATCGACAAAACTCCTCTCTGGTGACAATGAGACAGGTATTCAACTGTTCTTGCTTCATTCCAAAAAGCAATGCAAAGCTGCAAAAAAGTTAGTTGTTTTCATCCTTGAAATTTCGGTTTCAAAACTAAATCTTGCGCGTTTCAAAAAGATCGTTGAACTTGAAAATGAAGATTGAGATTCTAAAGATCGTATTGAATTGAAGTTAATTTCTATTGAAACATCTGTATCAATTATTCGTTTGGAGATAAACAAAATGAAAGAAATATGTTAAAGAGTCTCTTCCACAGATAGAGTAAGACATCAAGTGCAAAGCTGAAAAAAGGGGATAAACTGATTCTTTCAGCAACTGTGTTGTTTCGGTTCTCCGGTTCTCACTCCAGATAATGCTGGAAGCAAAAAAAAATGCCCATAAACCAAATCTCCGATGTTGATAGAATTCGTAATCCTATCAAAACGAACAGACAGCCCACGTCCAATTCAGGCGACAATACTGGCACAAAGCGGTCGCGAGATGATGATAAACGAGTGAAATATTTTGGGATAAATTTTCCAGCAAACAAGAGTCAGTATTGGCAAAATCCTAGACATGGAAAGTAGCAAATGAGTTGAACTATGTATCAAACATGAACTGAAGCTTTCTGTTAACCCAATAGATAAACTTTCCGTGAACTGAAAAGCTACTGCAGTATTGATGAATTAATAAAGGAGCAAACAATGGATGCGTTTCCTTTCAACTACCTTGATTGGCATTAAAGATGCCGATTAGAAATAAGACGCGGTATTGAAGCTTTTTAAATTGTTTTTCTGATTAAATTTTGCTTGAAAAATTAGGTTCATGCAATCAGGAAGTTTCCTTTCTTGTGAGTGAATTTCCAAATTTCTACTCTATAAACAATTACTACTTTATCTGCAGTTATGACTTTTATGATGATTATTAAACCATTATCATGAAAGGTGAGGTAAATTCATGGAAAGCAAATAAATCATTTAGAAAAGATAATATATGTACTGTACGTGATTTTCAGCGACAGCTTAATTTATACACAAATGAAGTTTCTTGCGATTTTCAACATCTAACTTCAGTTAATTGGCTTTTAAAAACAAATAAAACATGGTATCTTTACGCAATTTATGGCGGAATACACAAGAAATACAGTTAATAGAGAAACTTTTTTCAATTTAAAGCAAAAAGTTCCAGGTTCAAAGATATGAATAAAACTATGATAAGGTCAAGGTCAAACTCGTTTTTCACGATTTTCAAGCGTTGAACACTTTTGACAAACAACAGTGAAATTTATCTAAATAAAAACTATTTTAAAAGCAAGAGCTCACTATACGATGACGAAAACGAACTGCAAAAGAATGCGAAGCAAACTCAGTGAAAATTGATACTTGTTTTATGCTTCAAAAGATCAGATCAATATCTCAAAATTTTAATGAATTAGAACATATTTTTACTTCTAGAGACAAAACAATAGTAATACTGTATTATAGAGACAAAACAATAGTAATACCACTAACAGACTTGGACAACAGAAATCACCCATTTAGGAAACTTCTCTCTGGAAGATTATCATGAACCGGTAACAGAAAATAGATCATACAGAAGCTGTGGTGTAGGTATTTGCATATCGAAAAATTATAATTTTAACAAAACAGCTGAATTCACCGATGATCTTTTACAAACTTTGAGAATTTCTACTAAATGCAAAGCTAAAAAACTGAAATGTACAGTAAAATATAAAGCACCGCAAATGAATTCCAACAGTTTATTGGAAAATGTTAGCGATTCACTCACTTATCTGAAAAAAAAAGTGATAGATAAAATCACAAGGTATGTGGTGATTTTATCCTTGATTTATTATAAAACAGTTAAGAAAAAATTCAACAATCTCAAATGTTTTTGAAGTTTCACTTAAAAGAAATAATCAACCACACCCTACACAATTATATATAATGAGTAAAACAGCTATTGATGTTTTATTTTGTAACGAAATGCCAAGTTCAAAAGTTATGACATATCAGATCATAAAATGTTTATCTTAAACACTTACAACCTATTTTAAAGAAAAACATGAAAACACTTATGAACCAAAACTCAGAGCGTGGGAATTTTTTTTAAAAAGAAGATAGGCTCCTTATTTTCAACTTTTGGAATGAATTTCGAAAACGAAATTTGCTATATAATGAAAAAAAATGAAAACGCGATAGAAAACTTAAATGAAATACTCTAATGAACAAATATTTTCCTTTAAAAAGAAACAAACTTTGCTCGTATTTCGATAAAAAACAATACAATTTTTATCGTACCGAACAGCTAGAATCAAGCAAATTTAAAAATCAAGATCAAAGAAACGTTTTATAGGGAGGACAAATCAGAATTTTACCTTTGTCAAAGTCAAACTATGACAAAAAAAAACAAAGAGCAAAGAACTTTAAAAGTATTTAATGGACTGACAAGCAGCAGCGAAACCGACTCAATATATCAATGTGGCTTACAAGTAGACGAATTGAAGAATTTTGTACCAGTGATGCCAAACCTAGCTGAAAAAATACAATAACACAAATTTCAACACTGAAAAGGCCAACTCAGAATCAATAGTTGTCAGTTTCACTACTGATAAAGAAGTGTTCAGCTTTTCAATAAACTGATTGGGAATCTTATTAATTTGGGTCAGGGTTGGCATGTTATTTAACATTGAATTTAACTTACAGTGTTATTTATAATTTCTAACAGTGATGTTAGCTATTTCTTAGAAATATGAGTAATTCTTAGAAAAACACAACGCAACTATACTGCATGCTTGTTCCGAAACGATTGTAGCGAATCCCGAACGGATGAAAAAAATTTTCAAACCAATTGCAGTTTCACTTGACAAACTACAGAGCGAAAAATCTCACCTGACGTATGGGAAGCTTCGTGCTCAACTCGGCGTTGAGAAAGCCGGAAAGTTGGCGTTTCTGTTCAAGAAACTCAACTCCTGTTGATATGTTAATTTAATTAACAATTTAACAAAAATAACATGTTTTTTTTTCGATAAACAACAGTTAGTTTGTTATTTTTGTTTTTAACTTACATTTTGCCAACCCTGATTTGGGTCATGGCAAAAATCTACTTAAACAAAAAGCAACCATTTTCACTCCCGTGCTGATAAAAATTGCCTAGAATTGTATACATCAGAAATGCTTTCCAGCTTCCTTGAAAGTAGTGAAAGTTATATCGTTCATCAAATCTGGTTCTCGCAAAGAACCCTCAAATTATCGATCAATTTCAATTAAAATTTTCCTTGAACATAGCTGGCAAATTTAAAATACTGAATAAGGATCAATTTGTTTCAGGAAAGGACGCGGCACTGTAGATGCCATAAGGGAGATCACGAAAATGGTCAGATTAGAGTTGAGCTCAAAACCAAAAAATGACAGTACATTAGGTGATCTTTCAAACGATCTCGACACCGTTAATAATGATTTTATGGCCTGAGAGGTAAAATGTTCAAAACATTAGGTCGTAATTGACTGATAGAAAACAATAAGTTCATGTTAATGACCAAAATTCTGAACTTAATACAGATTGCAGTTTACAACAAAACTGTAATACAGATTGCAGTTTACCTCATTGGTGTTTTAGGGTCCTCTTATTCATTATCTACATCAATGATTTACAACAAAGGACCAGTTAAGTGCCCTCAATCATAAGTTGTCATGTTTGTCGGTGATTGTAATATAACCATCTCAACAATCTATAACAAGCTCAACAAACAACAACAACGACTTTAACAAGGATTTAGATAGTGCTAAAATATTGTTGCAAGAGAACCTTAGATATGTCGATTCGCTTAATTTTCAAAGCAACTGCCAAAGTCAACTCTAAGACTAGCGATATTACCAAAAATCACGAGTCTGAGTATCAACTCAGGAATTTGGAGAACATTAGCTCGAGCTCATCTGAATCTTAGGGCATTGTATTTGACGCAAATCTTAATTAGAAGGAGACGTTTGACAAAAATCAAAAATAAAGTACCAAGTCAGAATCTGTTTTCGAGAGTAAGATTTTATTTAAATCATACACATCTTCTAAAATTTATGAAACCTATATTAAACTTAACATACAAAATCGAGCGCTATTAAAGCAAACAAAATGGACTTGATGAAATGAGAAAACCAACAAAAGTTGATTTGAAAAAAAAAGTTGACAGCATACGTCATTTACGAGATCAGCACAAGTTATGCAATGTAGGAGAGTTGCATATAGACGAAAATATGAAAACTATGGTTAAGCAATACGAAAAAATGTCTCATCTGAGGAAACAAATTTAAATGAAGAAGAGGTAAACAAACATTTTTGCTAGGTAATGCAAGGAAAAGAGCAGGAGCCAGTATACAAAACCATCCATGTATAAAAATGATCGTTATTTGGGCTAGGATTATCTACAACTACTTTTTCATAATGCATGGTAGCATTTTGAAAAAATATCTGGAAACTGAAGAGTCTAAGGTTGATGATTACATACATACGCTAAGAGATCTAAATATTTGCGGTAATGGTAAGCTACTAAGTCTTTTTTGGCGACTTTTACCCTAATTAGTTATATTTCATGGTTAAAAAAAGATTTTTTCTTTTTAATGAAAAAAAATTCACTCGACAAGCAAACTTGCCGTTTTGGAATTCTATCAAGGATGCAGTTAAAAATAGCTGGATTTTTTCTTTATGTAATAACTGCTTTCTTGAAAGTTTAATGGTTACTATTCTGAACTAACTTGAATTGTGCCGCCTTAAATTGCGTCTAGTTTACAGAGACGTAAAGCTGATTTTTGCAATCACTTGCTATACAACGCAAGCTCAGTATTGCAAGCTAGCGAATAGAAAATTAGACTGAAATATTAAAGAAAAAACTAATAATTTTTGGGAGAAATTGAAAATAAATTCAGAAAAACAGTCGAAAACACAAACACCAGCATTAAATAAGCCGTTTGTTCTAAGCAAGCGACACCTAAGCCGACAAGTGGAAAGACGTCCATTGAGCTGAAAACAAAAAAAATGCCATGAGAAATTGTTGCCATAAAAAATTTTGAGAAATTAAGTTAAAAACTTGCAACAGAAACTACCCGAAAATCAATCATTTTTTATTCATCAGTTATATAAATCAATTATATGATTCAATTTTTGCCTTTGAAGCGACACAAAATGAGGTAGCTAAGCCAAAAAAAACCGAAACTATTCAGGCCGAATAAAGCTTTTTAGAGCAAAAAAAGGAAAACCAAGGAAAATATACATCGAAGAGGTATTAATTATACAAATTGCATCAGTACGCCAAAGACACTTGCATCTACGATGAAACTGTTGACAACACAAGAAAATTAATAACTGAGGCAACTAAAATGACAAAACATAAGCATACAAACAAAAACCCGACAATTTTGTTTTTCCCGGAACAAATTCCCGATTACTTATATACTGAAAAAAAGCAGGGCCCGACAGGGACTCCAACACCGGACCCTAGGGTACAGAGGCATCCGCGTTACATCTAGGCCAGGTAGAAAACGGTCTCGAAGGTTCACTAACAAAGCAACTTCACAATTTCTTGCAGATGGTTAAGAAAAATTGTTTACGGAAAAAGTCTAGTTACTGATAACAAGACACTTGCTCACGCAAGTGTATAAAACCTCTAACTCATCTAAATTGGCTCCTTTCAACTTTCCCCCCACATTTGAATTTCAGTTTTGAAAAACTAACTTTACGTTGTCATAATGTAATGAAATTTTGCATGGTGAAAAACTGACTATTGTGAACACATTTTTTCTTCATACCTTACATCGTTAAGTCACGCATGCAGCCATAATAACACGTAAAAGAACTAAAAAAAATTAAAATGTGGGGGCCCCAAAGTTTGTTATAACTTGCCTCTGTTTGAGATTTCTGTTTCTTCTCTGCCTTGTTTGTGATATCGAAATCGCCATAATTCTCTAGCTCTTCCGGAAAGTCACTGAAAAACAAATTTCTAAATTCAGTTAACGTTTGGGCACGACAACGAAAGACTGCAATCAAAGTTATAATCTGCATTTATTTAGGGACTAAAAAACAACTGTTTTACCCCAAATAACTCATTACTTTTTACAATCCCCGATAAAAACACCTTCAAAAAGAGTAAAAATAACAAGACGCTCCTAGCAAAAACCTCACATGAACGGATCCATAGACAAATGCGGCCGAGGCCTGTCTAGTATTCTTGTCCTGGGCGAGTTTATCTTCGGATCCTCATTGTGTGACCCGTCTAGATCCGAGTCCGAGTCAGTACTACTTGAAACACTGGGCGGCCTAATCGCCTCCAGACATGCCGTGATCCTAGGTCGTAGTGATTGGTTCGCCATCAGAACATTGCCGACCTCCAGATCCTCTTCATCTTCCTCAACCTCTACGTGCGACTGGCTCTCGGACGTTTCCAGATTACTCGGTGCCATTCGCAATGGCCTGTCAAAATTTCCAAAGTTTCTTCTTTCGTTTCCAGACAACGCTGATGATCTTCTCAAAGCATCGTCGGCGTTGTTTTGTCTCTGGGCAGGTGCTCTTGAGTTTGAGAGGGTAAATTGAGGGGGTGGGGGAGGGGGTTGGGTAAGGAGGGAGAGAGCCCTTTGGTGGTGATCGGCCTCTTCCGCCAGGATGGAAGTGTACAGACTCATGAAAGCTTTGCTGTTGCTAAAGCGACTTATCTAAAACACAATTTGGGCCATAGTACTCGCCAAATGCTACATGCGTACTGTATCCGACAATTTTGAAAGTAAACGTTATTTCAATGCCAAACACTTGAGGCATGCTAAAAACTAGGATGGATATCTATATTTGTTCTCCAAGACGTTAAAAGATGACCAAAAAATCCTCAATTATACTGTGACGATATGCACCTGTTGATGCCAGAGGAACTTGTCTCTCTGGAACGTGTCCATCTCCTGACTGAGATTGGTGGTCCTCACTTGGCTGGCGGAGAGACTGTGCTCGAACATATCCAGCAGCGCCTCCGTTTCTCCCCACACAACTCCCATTACAGTCATCTCCTCCGAGAACTCCACATATCTAGAACCGGCGGTGTTCAGTTAACTTTTTAAATCTTATTTTTTGCTTAGTTTGAGAACATGTTTTAGCCGAATTTTTTATACATCAATTCAAGAAACAATGTGTTTTCTCGAATGGTTTTCTCTGAAAGATATTTTCAAGTAGTTATAATATTATCTTCTTGCTTATTGGGCTGTTGAAATCGGCCTTTTTGATTTAGCACAAAATATTTTAGTCCCGAAAAGAACCCGAGGTTTTCTTAGACAAACTGAAAAAATCTCTGTATTCTATTTTCAACTCCTTTTTCGGTCAGTGTAGTAATAATCGAAAACAATCAAACTATTAACCCTTAACCTCCGAAACACCTAATTACACTGCACTGAATAGAAACAACCTTTCTTTATAAGTATGGCACAATTATTTCTATACGTACTGTTTGTATATGGAGATGTATTTCTCCCTGGGGTAGACTGCACAGCCGCTGCAGCCCTCGGTGAGTCCCTGCAGCATGGGTTTGAGACTCCTCCTCAGAAGGGGCTCCTCCCAACACAGAGTGCGGAACAGATTCCGGTTGTGCATTGCCCACGTCATCTTGAACAGCGACAGGTGCTCCTGTTCCTACAAAAGCGAAACAGAAGTTATGGTTATTATAAAATCAATCAATATTGATCCAAATTTTATTATGAAATCTTTCAAATTTCAAGTACTATACAAAATATTTATTGTAAAATTAGTCATTAAAATTATAAATATTGTTCTATATATAATGCTGGGTACATTTATTCTTGATTTTAAATTTATAAATCCACGATCCAAACGAGTTTGTTTAAACTTGAATAATTGAAACGGTCAGGAGTTTTCCATGCTTGCATGATCTGTTTTTCGATTTATCAATCAAATTTATTAAGGCCATGGCTGGAAAAATATATATACTAAGCACCTACTTGTAAATTGATCCTTCATATCAGGGGCGGATCTAGGATTTTCTCGAAAGGTGGGGGGCGGATTTTCAAAAAATGTCGACAATTTTGTCGACCTTTTTTTTAGGTCGACCGAATTGATTCCCCGAGCTCTCCCAACCAAAGCACAAACAATACCTTCTTTTTGTCAAATTTTCAGCGCCGCAGGCAAAATTTTGAAAAACAGGCCAAAATTTTTTTGAAAAACAGGCGTTTTTTGGCGCGCGCTCGCCCCTCGCCAAAGGGGGGGCCTTTAGAAAATTTGAGGATCCGTCACCAAACATGGATATCTCAAAATAGTACAAAAGGGGGGACCCTTTGGGTCGGCAGGGGGTCGAATCCCTGAGGGGAGTGTCCCCCCCCCCCCAAATCCACCCCTGCTTCATATTAACAATGACCGTGGGAGTTCTTTAAATTTCTTTTGGACTGGCATGTGGGAGTTCTTTCGTTCGAACTCACCAAGTGTGCGATGATCTCCGATATACTGCTAGCACTCTGTCCAACGGAGGTAAACTCGTTCAACATACTCTCCACAAAATCCACACACCACGAGGGGGTCCAACTCCTTCCACTTCCAGACCCCCCACTATTATTACTACTGCCCCCACCAGAAGTGTTGTGAGAGGGGAATGGGTGAGTTGTCAGTCGATGCAGGAGTCTGGCCTTGACTTCGACCACGTATTCGATAGCTTGTGCCTCCAGACGTCGGAACAATAGGTGGGCATCACTGCTACTCAATCTAAGCAGCACAGCTCTTTAGGCATTTTATACAAGGCCATTTAAGCTATCAACATGAATTACATGTTTTAAAGAAACTTTCCACCTAACATTTCAAAGCAATCAGTTGGAACAATACAAACACAGGAAAACAATGCAAGGGGAAAATGCTTTCGGTTAACCATTGATAAGTAACATATCACAGCACCAAGAAAAATCATATATTAAAATGACTTATTTCACAGCAGTTTTACGATTAAGAAGCAATTCGCAAGATTTTGGATGCGCGAATTTGGATGCGCAGCGTTGTTCAAAAAACGTTAATAAAAACAACTCACTTGGTGGCCATTTCGCGCAATCTGAATTGATGCTGGTGTGGAGGCGGTGGCTTGCTGATACCTTCCAACTGAGACTGAGAGTATATAGACTGCGACCTGTATATACTTCTCACACTATCCCTCAATTCCACCCAACTTCGGTCCAACTCTTCCGCTCTCATTTTACTCACGTTTTCCAACTGTCTCAGTCTCTCGCATGAATTGCAGTTACATGCTTTCTCATTCTCCACTCCTCCGATCGGGTAGAGATCAGCATCATTGTCATTTTCACACACACTACCAGTGTCGTCGTCTTCAAGCCCGTACAACCCAGCTGAAATAACACTGATGGAAGCGATAAGATATTGGCTGTTTCCAATTTTTATTAGTAATTCATTCGAGATAAAAATCAATCAAACGATTTTCAAATATCTACCAAGATTCCCTTTCTTTCATGATTTAAAAAAACTCATAGCACAGGGAGGACACTTCTAAACACTTTCCATGATAATTTTCGTTGTTCAAATATTTGAACGAGTTTTTTTTTTATTTGCCCCCGGTTCTGCTCAGTGCAGGACCAACTGTGGGGTTGGGAGATGTCAACCATTTCGCCGCAGCCGGTCCCACCTTGAGGAGGCGGATGACACTGGGACCCCTCCAACTGTGACCGAAGCGGGATTCGAACGAATGACAAGTATTTAGTGAATACTGACCATCAATTGAATGGTAGTTATGTGGCGGCAACGAAAGAGGTTCGTCATCCTCATCCTCGTTGTGTTCGCTACTCTGCACACTACAAAGAGACATCGAGAGATCCAAGAGATCCCTAGGGTGTCCCGTATGCCGCAACACACTCCCAAGTCCCATTATGCCCCCTCCTAGTCCCCCTTCGTCCCTTTCCCCACTTGGTCCGATGCCCTCCTCCTCGCAAGTTTCCCCTCTACACTCGGGGCAGATCCAACAAGGCTGAAACAGCGAGACATGCAATCAATTTACTAACCGCTTTAACTAACAATCAGTTTACAAATTGCTTGTTTCCTCGTTGAAAACTAGCAAATTATGCCATTTAATCTGCGTGTATATTTTCGAATGGTCGATGTTTGCTCTCCTTCGATCAATGTGCAAAAATCATGGTGTCCTCGGATCACCAACCTCTTGATCCAAAGAACTTCAGTTACTTTTAGTACCTCGCTTAGTAGAAAATGCTAGAAAAAAAATTGTACATTTTTATGGACCGCACCGTATTGAGCAGAATTGTAGTTCCCTTGTCTTTTTCGTCACTATTCTGTCCCGATGAAATACCAGATGAAGAGGTTGCTCTCTTTTTGTCACATAGCAGACAGGTTTGAGGACTGATCCAGCGACACAGTGACGATACTGCCGGATCTATCGAGCTGTCCAGATCACCGCCACTTGTTTCTTCGGCACATAGCATTGTTCCAGGCTTCTTTATTGCTGGTTGTCAAAAGAATCGCTGTGTTTTCTTAATCTTCGTGTCGAACGAATACGAAATCAATATAACGTACAACAATGTCGCGAGATTCTGACTTCAAATTCTGATGCTGATGTCAGTTAATTACAGTTTTCAACTGCTGTAATGGTCCTGATGTATATTCGGTGCTTCTCAATGAATGTGTAGTAGTATGTACAGAGTAATATTATAATCTGCAATGTAGTTTTTTTTTCTGCTGGCCTTTGACTTGACAAATCAAAAGCGTAATCTGAAAACAGATCTTATTTTAGAGAAAATCATTACACGTCACTTTTTTCGCATCGAACTCAATTGGTATAGACATCATAATTATAGTAATACAAACTTAAAAGAGCTAAAACAAAGTTGATGAAAATTAACAAAGGAAACTAAAAACGTTAGCTTAAAATGTCCTCTGCTTAGTTTAATTTGTAACACATTTTTTTTCAGGAAAACTTTTTTGCTTAAAAGTCTGCAAGACAAAGAGAACAATTCAATTTTAAGGAACACGCAGATCATTAATTGATAGTACGGTTTTCGTTGTAAAGAAAAATGTAGAAGAACGGAAAAAATTGATGTTGTAAATTAAGACACACTTTCAATCGGCTCTTCTCAAAAATTGAACCTGAAAACAAAAAATATTCACACTAATTTGCCTAAACACAGGCTAATTTGAAACTTTTAGGGATCCTAATCAAGCTCAAAAAGTCTTTGATATCATATCCCACATCGTTTTTTTTTTCAGGTGGTCTAAATCTACCAAAAGAATCATCCTTTCAATCAAATCGTGACGTCATAGGAACAATCCAATTATTTCAGAGGCTATGAATTGATCGATGTTGTTGCTGTTGCCTTGTAGATGGGCAGCGCTTTTGTCTGGAGGGTTTCGAACGTTTACAAAAGTAGGATGGGCTACGCCTGGTATTATTTGCTCCATTGTTCAGTATTTCTGCGCACAGAAGGCTGCTGTCTTAGTTATGTTTATATTCAGTTTCAGGGAAAAGTTGTTTGTTGTGTCGTTTCGTTTAGGTCTCACAATGCGGCACCCGTCAAGTACCCCTTGGTAGAAGGGGACACGATTCCAGTAACTGGGACGTCTCATGATTCTGATTTCGATACCATTTTCGGTGAAACACCAAGCCGTCAAACGGGAAAGTAAAGCGCTTCAATGGGGACGATGTCTATTATTGTCTATACCATATTGGAGGAACACCAGTCATGAACTTTTTTGGTTTCATGAAGCTTAGAGTCAATATTGCGTAGTTACTGGTCGTCAAGAGCGAGCTCGACTGGATCTATGGGTAATTCATTTGTCTTTTTTCGAATATCGTTCTTCCGTGAGAATTACTTAAGTTGAAGCTGGCGGCGTAGTTAAGTGACGAGGGTAGCTGATGTGATTGGCTACGGGGAGCATGTTGCATTCAGAGCGTAAGCGGTAGATTTTTAGTTATTTTGATGCATCTTGTTGCAGTGCAGAGTGCGGAATTTTGTGATGGTTGGAGTCTTTCAATTGAAGTAGCGCTGGCTGCATGTGACCACGCTGGGGTAGCTGCGTTCTTAGTTATGGTTATAATCAGTTTACAGGGACAGATTGTTTGTCATGTTGTCTGGTTTAATCTCACAAAGTGGTTCCTGTAGTGGTTCGTGTAAAACCAGGTTGCGGCCTTCTCGCTTAGGGGAGATGAACTCGAAATTTTGTTTCTTAACTTTTTCGCTTTGATTTCATGGAGCTAAGAGCCAGTGTTGAGTAGTAACGGGCGATCAACATCGCGCTCGACTGGATTGGACCAGAAACAGTGTGGTGGGGTTTCCGGGACATCTGAAGACGTGGTTAGTGTCCGGATCGTATTGAAGCACATGGGACACTGATTGAGGATGATTGGATAGTCTATTGAGGTAAGATTAGAGGTTGAGTAAAGGTGAGTAAAGTGGAGTATCCCCTGAGTAATTGGGCGATGCAGGAACGCGCCTTTCGGTTGAGTGATTTAGGTTTACGAGATAGTGGGGTGTTCAGCCAGTATTTTGGTAAAGGGAACTTTTAAAATTGCTGCAAACTGCCTGTGGGTGTAATATTTTAAGGATTTGTGTTTTGGTTCTCTTGTTTTGATTGGAGTCTACCAAGTCAAATAATGGGGTCAACTAAAGGTGCTGAGTTGTGACTTTTAAAGGAGTTTTTTTCTTTTTCGTCCGTTCTTCCACGAGCATTAGTTAAGCGGAAGCTGGCGTAATATAGTAAGAAGGGTAGCTAATGTGCTTGTCTATGGTGAACATGTGGCAGTCAAAGCGTAAGCGGTAGATTTTTAGTTATTTTGATGCATCTTGTTGCAGTGCAGAGTGCGGAATTTTGTGATGGTTGGAGTCTTTCAATTGAAGTAGCGCTGGCTGCATGTGACCACGCTGGGGTAGCTGCGTTCTTAGTTATGGTTATAATCAGTTTACAGGGACAGATTGTTTGTCATGTTGTCTGGTTTAATCTCACAAAGTGGTTCCTGTAGTGGTTCGTGTAAAACCAGGTTGCGGCCTTCTCGCTTAGGGGAGATGAACTCGAAATTTTGTTTCTTAACTTTTTCGCTTTGATTTCATGGAGCTAAGAGCCAGTGTTGAGTAGTTACTGCCGATCAACATCGCGCTCGACTGGATTGGACCAGAAACAGTGTGGTGGGGTTTCCGGGACATCTGAAGACGTGGTTAGTGTCCGGATCGTATTGAAGCACATGGGACACTGATTGAGGATGATTGGATAGTCTATTGAGGTAAGATTAGAGGTTGAGTAAAGGTGAGTAAAGTGGAGTATCCCCTGAGTAATTGGGCGATGCAGGAACGCGCCTTTCGGTTGAGTGATTTAGGTTTACGAGATAGTGGGGTGTTCAGCCAGTATTTTGGTAAAGGGAACTTTTAAAATTGCTGCAAACTGCCTGTGGGTGTAATATTTTAAGGATTTGTGTTTTGGTTCTCTTGTTTTGATTGGAGTCTACCAAGTCAAATAATGGGGTCAACTAAAGGTGCTGAGTTGTGACTTTTAAAGGAGTTTTTTTCTTTTTCGTCCGTTCTTCCACGAGCATTAGTTAAGCGGAAGCTGGCGTAATATAGTAAGAAGGGTAGCTAATGTGCTTGTCTATGGTGAACATGTGGCAGTCAAAGCGTAAGCGGTAGATTTTTAGTTATTTTGATGCATCTTGTTGCAGTGCAGAGTGCGGAATTTTGTGATGGTTGGAGTCTTTCAATTGAAGTAGCGCTGGCTGCATGTGACCACGCTGGGGTAGCTGCGTTCTTAGTTATGGTTATAATCAGTTTACAGGGACAGATTGTTTGTCATGTTGTCTGGTTTAATCTCACAAAGTGGTTCCTGTAGTGGTTCGTGTAAAACCAGGTTGCGGCCTTCTCGCTTAGGGGAGATGAACTCGAAATTTTGTTTCTTAACTTTTTCGCTTTGATTTCATGGAGCTAAGAGCCAGTGTTGAGTAGTTACTGCCGATCAACATCGCGCTCGACTGGATTGGACCAGAAACAGTGTGGTGGGGTTTCCGGGACATCTGAAGACGTGGTTAGTGTCCGGATCGTATTGAAGCACATGGGACACTGATTGAGGATGATTGGATAGTCTATTGAGGTAAGATTAGAGGTTGAGTAAAGGTGAGTAAAGTGGAGTATCCCCTGAGTAATTGGGCGATGCAGGAACGCGCCTTTCGGTTGAGTGATTTAGGTTTACGAGATAGTGGGGTGTTCAGCCAGTATTTTGGTAAAGGGAACTTTTAAAATTGCTGCAAACTGCCTGTGGGTGTAATATTTTAAGGATTTGTGTTTTGGTTCTCTTGTTTTGATTGGAGTCTACCAAGTCAAATAATGGGGTCAACTAAAGGTGCTGAGTTGTGACTTTTAAAGGAGTTTTTTTCTTTTTCGTCCGTTCTTCCACGAGCATTAGTTAAGCGGAAGCTGGCGTAATATAGTAAGAAGGGTAGCTAATGTGCTTGTCTATGGTGAACATGTGGCAGTCAAAGCGTAAGCGGTAGATTTTTAGTTATTTTGATGCATCTTGTTGCAGTGCAGAGTGCGGAATTTTGTGATGATTTGAGTCCTTGACATGAAGTAGTGCTGGCTGCTGGTGACCACGCTGTGGTAGCGCATTCTCAGACAGGTCTATCAAAGGGCTAAGGAGAAATTCTTAACTTTGTTGAGTCTTTGCGGTTGAGCTCAAGAGACAAGAAAGTGTCTTGTTTTTAACTGGATTTGGTAGTCTTTTGAGTTTGGTAAGCGGGTCACTCAGTAGTTGGAAGGAAAGCTTTTTCATTAGGTTATTGAAGAACTCTAAATAAAAGGAGAGTGAAAATCACAGATTTTGATGTTAGTGCTTTGGCTGTAGGCGTTTGCGTCAACACAGGATAAGATGGATGTTTTTGGGTGGAGTAGGGGAGTCGCTCAAAGATAATATATGATGGACGTTCAGAGATAACTAATTCTGTGAAAACCCGGCTGCGGCCTTCTCGCTTTGTGGAGATGATCTAAAATTGTTTTGGCATTTCTACCGCTCAAGTAGTAACTTTACTAGCGGCTTAGAGGATCTAGCAGCGAGGAGTTGGTCAGTTTCTCTAGTAGGGTATGGTGTATTATAGAGTTGAATGCTTTCGACAAATTAGACCCACCAGAACTGTTGTTTGGTGGTCTTCTTTTTGGTTAAATCCGTGGGATATTGAAGAGTCGAGGGAGGTTATGACACTATTGGTGGAATGCAGAGAGCGGAAGCCTATTGTTGATGTTGGGTTTTCAAGTGTTTATTTAGTAGGGTGCTTCAAAAATTTTGATTTTGAGACTAATAGAGATGGGGGGGGGGGGGGTAAGATTAGAGAAGCTAAAATGGTCGAAAATCTGAAAATAATCCACAAAAAAAACAGATCCAAACAGATTTTCCTAAATTTGTTGCCTCAAGCATGGGAGTTACAACTGAACCAAATCCACAAAACACTTCTTGAATTTATAAAGGAAACAACTTCAAAATTTTCAAGCAAAAACTAGAAAAACAAAAATAGCACAGAAAAATGGGCAAACTACTTGCCCAAAACCGAAATACACTACAATCATTTTCAATTTAAGAAAAAAACGTTTAGTCAACTTAAGTACTGCGGCAACTAAGCTGACACAAAAGCAGACAAACAGAAGTACAAACATATTTTAACGCGCGGGCAATTTTCCGTTTAAAAAAAAACAGTTCCTGGCCGGATTCGAACAATTGACCTTTTTCTATATAGGCA